CCCAGAGAGGAGGCCTTGTCGAATGACAAAGGCTCAGGGCTCGAACTGGAGTCCAGTTCCGGGCTCTGCCTCAGAGGCCCCGCGTGTCCCGTCGCTTCATCTCTGCGCCTCAGCTCGGCAGCTGCGCGCCAGGGAGCGTGATCCCCCCCTTGTCTGTTCAGACTGAGCTCTCTCGGGGTGGAGTGGGGGACCTTCTCTCAGCGGCACAAGGGGGCCTGCTCTCGGCCGGAACGTGAAGACGCGGCGGCGGCGCCGCCCGTTCTAAGTGCTGCGCAATGAAGCCCCAAGAGAGTTTCCGGAGAAACGGGGCGGCACCACGCACCTCCCCGAGATGACGCTCCTGCTCCCGCTCCCTTCCCAGCTGCGTCTCGCTCGCCTGATTTTTCGTGGCTGATTTTACTTTGCACACTCAGGGCTATTTCCTCCTCACAGCCGGCAGGACCCCCCCAGGCTGCAGCCTCCCGTCTCTTCTACTCAGGAACGACCCGGCGGCTGCGTGAGTGGGAGCCTCTAACAGACTTTACCCCTTTGTCTCCTTTTCCTCCCCCCAGCAGTTGACCCCGCCCAGGAGCCCCCCAAGACGGAGAGCGACTAGCTGACCATGTTTAACGGGGAGGCCAGCTCCTCCTCGGCTAAAAATGTGGTCCGCAGCTCCAGCATCAGCGGCGAGATGTACAACATCGAGAAGAGCAGCGGGGGCAACCCGGACTCAGCCAGCATCACCTCCAACAAGAAGAGGCGCTCGAGCCTCGGGGCCAAGATGGTGGCTATCGTGGGGCTGTCCCAGTGGAGCAAGAGCACCTTGCAACTCAACCAGCCTGGTAAGAGCAGATCTGTGCTGTTGAGGGAGCTGGGGGGGGGGACCCCTTGTTTCCTGTCCAGCTCTTTTGTTTGTCCTTGGACACTGTCCCGTCCGTCACACCCAGCTCAGGATCAGCGGCTGGCACAGGGCGTGCCAACCCGGCAGTGGCTACAGCTCGGGAAGTGCTCACACATGCCCACGCCACCTGCCCTGCCCTTCCTCTGCCAGAACAGCGCTCAGCTGCGAAGCGTGCAAGTAGGGGAAATACGTTCTGTTCTGTCCCCTCTGCTCTCGGTCGTTGTATCCACGGGGGTGAGGCAGGAGGGATGCTGGAGAACAGTGCTGGCCCAACATAAGAGCGGCCAGGCTGGGTCAGACCAAAGGTCCATCCAGCCCAGTGTCCTGTCGGCCGACAGTGGCCAGTGCCGGGTGCCCCAGAGAGAGTGAACGGAACAGGGGATCATCACGTGATACCTCCGTTGTCACCCATTCCCAGCCTCTGACAAACAGGGACGCTATTCCTGCCCATCCTGGCTCATAGCCATTGATGGACCTGACCTCCATGAATCTAGCTGGTTCTTTTTGGAACCCTGTTAAAGTCCTGGTCTTCCCAACATCCTCTGGCAAGGAGTTCCGCAGGTTGACTGTGTGCTGAGTGAAGAAAAACTTTTTGTTTGTTTGTTTGAAACCTGCTACCTATTAATGTCATGTAGTGACCCATAGTTCTTATGTTATGGAAACAAGTAAATAACTTTTCCTTATTCACTTTCTCCACACCAGTCTTGATTTTATAGACCTCTATCTTATCCCCCCCTTAGTCTCCTCTTTTTAAAGCTGAAAAGTCCCAGTCTTTTTAATCTCGCTTCATATGGCACCTGTTCCAAACGCCTCATCATTTTTGTTGCCCTTTTCGGCACCTTTTCCAATGCCAAGAGATCTTTTGTGAGATGAGGCAACCACATCTGTATGGCTGGGGCTTTCGCACCTGCCCTTGCAAAGCTGAGACACAGCAGGTGGGAACTGGGGGTCCTGGGGAACATCCTAGGTCCAGCGTCTTCAAGCCTGATCCAAACGCCATGGAAGTAAATAGAAATCTTTCCATCTGCTTCCGTGGGCTTTGGATCAGGCCACGCGTCCCTTCCTCTCCTACCCTAGCACATGAGACTGTGGGTAAAATTTTCGGAGCGTGCCTATGGGGGAGCTGTCCCTGTGCACTAGAGGAGGTGAGGCACCAAACTCCGACTGATCTTCAGTAGCACCGAGCTGTCTCATTGCCCTTTGCGCCTGTGAGATGCCCTAAGTGATTTAGGAGCCTGTGATGATCACGTTGAGTGAGATTTAGGCTCCTGAAGGCTGACGTTGATTTTGAACATGGGTCCTAGAGATATCTAGGTGCCCAGCTCCCTTGGGGATCAATTTAGGTGCCTAAGTACCTTTGAAAATCAGTTTAGTAGGCTTTATTGAAAGTTGGACAGCCCCGCTCCCCCAGACCTCTTAGCACCATCCTGAGCTGCTCTGTCTGTCACAAGTGATTTTGAAGGAAAGATAAGCGAGTGTGATGGGGTGAATCACAGAAGTCCCTGTAGGGTTGTGCCCCGGTGGGCTGATCATGCCACCAATGCTGAGCTTCCTGCTTTCTGGGGCTTCCCATCACCCTGTCCTGCTGGGCCAGACTGTATCAAAGACCACTGAAAACCAAGGTCTGATGGTTTCCCACTGTGTCAATAGACTTTCCCCCAGGACGGGAACCCTTTGTTCGGCATCCCCCATCCCCATGGAAAAATACTAGGTCCAAGATGGATACCAGTCCCAGGTGGCATGGTCACATGTCTTTCTAGGACCAACCACAGTCTGGGCTTATAGGACAAACACAACCATCCACAGGTCCTTGGTTTGAAAACTGCGTCATTAGCTCCCTGAAGTATCACTAATGGCCGTCATTAGCACATTTAGAAGCATGGACAGATTTACATTTCATATTCCTAACTTCAGATATGAAAATGATCCAGGCACAAAAATAGGATCTACGCATTCAGCAGAGTGTAACTGTAAAATTGATGTGACTTAGCCTGTTTTGCATAAAGCATCTTTGAGTTATGCATATTCATAGCCATAAGCCAATTCTCAGAAAGCATGGGACGGCGGTCTCATAAATGGGATGGCAGAAGCTAGAGGCATGGTCCCCAGACCCTTCCAGAACCTGCCCTCGGAAGGAAATGGAACAAAACCTCCTATTCGTATTAAAGATCATGATACGTTTACCTAAACCTCCTCTCCGTCCTGCTGCAGGGCACTGCACAGAGACAACACGCAGGTGCCTGGTTGTTAAAACCACATGGCAATGTAGACAGAACCCAGTGTTGGGAGCGTCTGGATCGCTGGCCTTCCTTGGTAATAAAACCAAGCCGGGGATTATCAGAGGCTTAGTGTTATGGTGACTCACAAACGTTGTACTTCTTGAACTCTCCCGGTATCATGAAAGCTCCCTGCACTGTGAACACAGTCATGCAGGTGGAGAGTCGCCTTCTACTGGTATAGGCTGTTGCCCTCAATGTTCTAATATGGGGCATATTTATAACGGCCCACTTGCGTCCACACTAGTCGGGGCATTAAGCTAGCGCAACGAGGGGTAACCTTGGCTAGTGAGTGGGCACATCAGTGGCCCTCCATCTCAGCGGGCTACAGGATTGTCATAACCCACATGGTCTCCCGGGATAGGGTAGTTTTGTTCGCTGTGCCTATGTACTTAGAACTGTGTTTCTTAAACCTTTTAAGACTGAGGAACACCAAACAATAATATGTTTTCATGAGGAACACCAAGAATTTCTTGAGAGGAAAAAAGGTTGGGGGGATATTATTGAGAAAAAAAGGGTCGGGGAAAGTTATTGAGCAAAAAAAAGGGGGGGGGGAGAGGGGGGTGCCTGCCCCTTTAAGGGCGGCCATTTTGAATTCTGTTGTTTTCCGCGGCACACCTCCGACTGCCTCGCTGCACAACACAGTTTAAGAAACACCGACTTAGAATGTGCAGGCTGTGCCGATTGAACGGTAGCAGAGCTTTGATTGGCTGCAGAGGGAGCGCCCTGCTCTCACTGTCACTGCTGTGTGCAATCAGCCCGCCCCTCGCTTCACGGGCCCTGGCTTTATGTGGGTGTCACTTCAGTGACACTAGGAGGAAAAAGACGCGGCTGGAAGCTAGTGGAATCTGGCAACCCTGCCCTGGGCAACGATACACACAATGTCTCATGGGCCACACACAGAGCCCTGCTGGGCCGCATGTGGCCTGCGGGTTGCAGGTTCCCCTCTGCTGATCTAGCTGTTTTGGTAAAAGGTCGGGGAAGAGCCAGCCAGGTGATGTGATCTAAATGGTGTTCTAGGCCAGTGGCTCTCAGCCTTCCCAGATGTCTGTGCCCCTTTCAGAAAGACGGTTTGTCGTGTGTACCCCTAAGTTTCATCTCGCTCAGAAACCACTGGCTCACACAATTAGCCAAAAATAGAAAAGCGAGGCAGCACGCTGCTCCTGAGAAACTGCTGACTCATTTTACAGTATATTATAAAATAAATCAATTGGCATATAAATACCGTACTTACATTTCAGTGTTTAGTATACAGATCAGTGTAAACAAGTACAGTATGGAATTCTTGTTACTGACTCTGCTAGTGCGTTTTACGCAGCCCGCTGTAAAAACGAGGCATATCTAAATGAGCTGATGTGCACCAGGGAAGACTTCTGTGTACCCCTAAGAGTATATGGACCTCTGGGGGGTACACAAGACAAATCTGAGGCTAGAGCAGTGAGAACGGCAATTCTAGGCTTTGTACAGAGTAAAAGAGCACTATTCCTGTCAGCGCTGATGCGTTTAGTGCCCCTTAATTAAAGCTGCTGAAAGCTGACTTTCCTCACCGAGCTGTCCTATTCCCGTGTGGAGGCAAATGGCCGTGGATATTGGTTTGGTGCGGTAGAAATTGGGGTTGAGTTTCTGCGGCAAATTGGAATCCCTTGATCCAATGACTCAGATACATTTTGGGCCAAATCCTCAGATTGTCTCACCCTCAGAGGAAAAACTCCTGTAGGATTTAATGGGAGCAAATAGCTCAGGATTAAAGCTGCAATTGTTTTGTCATGAAACCTTAATATAAGAAGTGCTAGGGGAAGGAAGATGCTAATTCCAACTAGTCGTATAGTCTGGCTCTGGGAATTTTTAAGTGCTGGAAATAGATCTTTTCAAAAACACCTGGAGAGCCCATTTTAGCCCAGGCATTTTCTCTGAGTTATTGCTTTCTAATTTTGGTTCTCGTTGGCATTTCGCGGTTCAGTAAAGTGCGTTACATAGGGAGAAGGAGTTAATTTAGGGCCGGCAAGCCTTGCAATCTGAGATGCTTCTGAAGGGTTATAATTATCCCAGCAAGCTAAGGAAAGAGAGCATCCAAAAAAGAATGATGCTGGACAAAACTCCACCCAGAGACAACAGAATCCAAACCTACCAGGGTCCCCTAGAACTGAGGGAGAAACAATCTAATGCTTGCAACAAAACAAATCATCTGGAAGCAACTGACTCTAAAAGCAGCCCCTCCTTCCCAGAATAAATAGGGGCGGGCCCAATTTTTCACGGATGTCAACATTTGCCAGCGAATCTGCGCTGCACCTGTAGAGCAAAGAGCCAGCACACCGCATCAGCACCAGCACCTTCAAAAACAAACAAAAACAACCTCCCCCTCCACGCACATACAAGCCCAATTTTGAGAGGGGAACTTGAGTGCAAAGCCCTGGTGCTGGTCCCTCGTTGCGGGGTGAATTCCTTCCACAGTCCCCGGCGCTGTGCCCCTAAACATGGGCCTTGTGACTGCAGGATGGACGCGCTTGCAACTCTGGCAGACAAGTCACAGGGCCTACCGAACCATGGCGGCCTACAAGGGCCTTCCAAATAGGCCGCTTTATACCAGGGACGCGTGCACACCCCACCCATCCTGAGGAGCAAGCCCCTGTTCAAAGCACTCCAAGGCTCTGCCAGGTGTTGCAGA